TCTACAGCATAGCTGGTGGAGAATTTGTTCTGTTTGTCACATGACCAGTGGAGGATGGGTAAACCCTCTACTTTGCAAGAGATTCAAGGCTATTTCAGCCAATGTTGTGTGTTTTTCTAGATACGTTTTAGGAGCTGGATTACTTGGTAATTCCGTTGCTCCTTATCTTTCTGAAAGTGTTATAGTGAAGTTTCACTTTTTCCATTTAAAGCTTCGTGGTCTTTTCATGTGGCTCATTTTTCTGTATTGGTTAATCAAGAGCAGTGATCATTCAATTGAAATTGCCTTGTTTTGTGAAGATTGGCAAGTTATCATAAAGTTAAACTCTCTAGTGTTGCCAATCTCTATATTCTTGATACTTGGAAATTGCTTGAAACTCTTGAAATCCATCTTGAATCTTTCTTGATATTGCTTGTTACTTGTTCTTGAAACTGAAATCCAGAAATGGATAATGGTTATTGAAATCCTCATTATCTTGATTTTTGTCTGGAATTAATTCTTGCATTGTTCTTGGAATCTAGTTTGAGTTGTCCTTGAAAACGTTCTTGTTCTGACTCTGCTCTTGCTCAAATTTTGTATACTGCTCTTGCTTGAATCTTGAATATTCTGCTAGTTCTTGTGTCAGTATACATGTTGATCTTCTTGATTCTTGGTTTTTGTTCATATGGACACCTCTTTAGGAGGGGTGACGATTATCAGAAGATACCTATATGAGGTATTCTAAATTCTTGTCTCTTGCAAGTGTTAATCTTTGTATCCTTGATGCCTTAGCTTTGACTTGACTTTAGGATGTCTAGGCTAAGCAGATTGTAGCCTCCATGAGCTACGAGGTGAAAGGGGTAGTCCTTGAAATACTTGATGCCTAGAGTTTTGTTCCAAGTGAAATGGTTCTTTGATCTGGCTGCTTGGATTTTTGTTTGCCCTTTTATTTAGAAGACATGAATCTTCTAAGCACCTTGATCCCAGCCATTGCTTTGTTCTGTTAATTAATTCTAGTACTTGAGGTGCTAGATCTTGACATCCTGATTATCTCTGCTTTTGAATCCTTGTTCTCATTGTCATTATTGAAATCTCTTTTGTGGGCCTAATTTTTGGAATTCTATTGCTTGTTTCATGGTTAACTCTTGTCTCTCAATTTTGATTGCTTGGTTAAATTTGATCTTGATTATTGGTGAATGCCGTTTTGTTGCTAATTTTTGAGGCATTCTACCTTGTACTCTTTTGTTCCAATATTCTTCCAAGCATTCATATTTTCCATTGATGTTATTCTGTTGCAATTCTTGAGATTCTTACATGTCTTTTGATGGTCCTAGCTTTTAACTCTTGTTAATTGCTAGAATCTGTTTCTTGATTCCAACTGCTTTGTTAAACATGAGCTTGTTTATTGGTTAACCTTGTTTTGTGGCAGAATTTGTAAGGCATCCATGCATTTGTTCATTCATTCATGATTCGTATATCCATTGGATGCTTATTCGTCTTTGATAGAGTTCAAGTTTTGTTGTACTTGTCTTTAAATCCATGCCATTCTTTGTCAACTTGTCTTGTGATGGGTTCGAAGCGTAACCCCACAACTGTTTCTTTTGTGGCCTTGGCAGGATTTATTTTTATTCATTGTGCTTCCCATATCACCCCAGCCTCTAGTAGCTCATTTCATGGTAAATCCTGTTAAGTAGTTAGTGTTCTGCTTTTATGATTAGTGTGGTTTGATATCAGAGTGGCGCAGCGGAAGCGTAATAGGCCGTGTTCTGTTCCTAGAAAGTGATGAGGCAATTGTTGTCTCGGATTGTGTGAAGCCATTCACCACTTGATATGGTCTTCAATTTGAGTTTTGGGGACAAAACTCCTTTTTAGGAGGGGTGAGTGTAATATTCCAAATTTTCGGGAATATTTAAGTGTAAGTTAAGGACTTGATTGTGAGAAAAGATTGTTTTGGGGCTTGATGGCCAATATTCTGAAAGTCAAGGGGCTTAAAAGAGTAGAATTTGGATAAGGATGGCTTATTTCTTTTCTCCCTTTTCCTCTTTCTTCTCCAGCCCGTTTCTGCTCTTGTCTTCCCGCTGCAGCCCGAAAGGAAAAAAAAAAGGGGAACCCAGCCATGCTTAAGAAATTAGTGAGAAAGCTTGGAGATTTCTCCTTCTTTCTTGTTCTAGAACCCACCTAGAACCCAGAAATCTTCCCTACCCTGCTGGAAAAGCCGGATCTGCTATGCTCTTCTGCCCTTGTCCGCCGGCTGCTCTTGTTGTGGGTGCAAATTCTGGGCATTTTTCGGTAAGAACAGCCATTAAATTCCTTTGTTCTTGCTTGAATTGGCTTGGGTTTATGTTAATTGCTCTTGGTTCCTTCAATTTTGGGTAGCCCGTGAGTTTCTCCCCTGCACTCCCGCCGGCCTTCCCCAATCTGCTAGCTCCGGTTCCTTGCTTGTAAATTTTGGTATGTGACAGCCTTTTAAGGCTTAAATTGTCCATTTAGTTTGCTGCCTTGTGTGTTTGAATTTTGCTAGAAAAATGGGGGAAATTCCAGTAGCTTTAGGACCATGATTAAGCACTAATTCAAGTGGGATTTATGTGATTGAGTGTTAATTGCTTGTTGTGATTTTTTGGAGAGAAAACCCCGTGAGATTAGCTAGTGGTTGGCCATTGTTTGGAAGTTGGAGTTACTGTTCACGTCGGGGTACTGTTCATGGACACTGTTCACACCCCGAGGGCCAACAATTAACGGGGATTTAAATGATTAGTTTGTGATATGAGAACGAATTTGGAGATATTTGATCATGTGGAGATTTATGAAAATCGCATTGTGATTAGGAATGATCCTAATGAAGTGTTCAGTGTGAATTTGTGATAGTGGTATTAATTCTTGAAATATCTTGATTAGGTTCTTGATCGTCCTGTCAGTTTAGTACGTGAATTGAGTGCTCGGTTTTATGCAAGTGAGGTAAGTAATTTATGGTAATGCCCGTACTGTTTTAAAAGCATGTTTTGATTTGTTGTTGAAGTGGTGGCGGGACTAAACCCGTTTTACACGATCATGACTGATTTGAAGTGAAATGTTTTATGCTTTTCATTAAGTTGAGCATGCCTACTTGAAATTTGATTGATTGTCCTAATGATCTGAAAGTGATTGTGAATCGTGATTTTTCTGTTAACTTCTACCTGTTTTGTCTCCGATATGGTCATGTTATTCGTGACCCTGCTAGTGGGGGAGGTTATAAACGCTAGCACATGTCGACATGTTAGTGATAGAGCCGGTTCGTTCAACCCTGCTAGTGGGGGTTATACACCAGCAAATCGTGTGCCCGCCAATGGGAGGTTTATAAACGCTGGCCGTGACCTATAGAGGAGACGTCTATTTCGTGCCTGTACTGTATCTGTTTTTCGTGATTGTACTTGTTGGCATGCTTTAAGTTTGATAAGGGGCACTCCATATTTACTTACTGAGTTTATCTCATAGTTTTTCCTTGTCCACCATTTCAGGAAGTGAAACCGAGGACGGGGAAACCACGAGAAGTGACGAGTTAGAAGGCTAGCCACTTTGTAAATTGAACATAGATTTAGAAATGAATCATGATCTTGTATTTGGAGATTTTATGATATCAGAGAGAATTTTATAAGATTTGATCTTCAGATTTTGATGGTATCAGAGTGTGAATATGATAAGTTTCGAGCCTTGTGCATTTGTGGGACCCATCTCACGAGTGCACGGCGTCTGTCGCGTCTTGAAATTGGGTTTTGGGGCGTGACAAGCATGCTGGAGCCGCCCTGTGCTCCCCACTCCAATGATCCTTCCGAGTCTGTCGGCTTTTGGGTCCCTTTCTGGTGACCCTTTTGGTTTTCCTGTTTTTTCTTGTTGTTTTGTTTTACTTTATGTTCTTGTATAGTTTATGTTTTTCAGATCTGGCGACCCTCGACTCTATCCTGCAGATCTTGGGAGGTGCTCGCTGATTTTCCAGATTTGGCCACTGCCAGACTGGAGCTTTGCCACGGCATCCTGGAGATTTCGTGCCATCCTCTCCGGAGTATATTGAAGGGTGTCCCATGGCTGGATCGGTCAACCTCAGGTTGCTTGAGTGACTTCACCTCCTTTCCTCCCATGCATCGGGCCTACTCTGCTTTGCTTCTCCAGTTTGTTCTTTTCTTTGTCTGTTACCTTTATTCTTTTGGATAAGGTCTGAATGTAGATGCCGTATGGCAGTTTCCCTAATGCATTGCTAATTACCTTTTTCTCAAAAATATCCATCACTCGGCCCAGGGCCTTAACCTGTCCCTCAATAAGGCATCCATATATGGATGAGAAGAAAAACAAACACGAAGGAATATATATTATCTTGAGTGGACTTGGTAAATAGGTGAGGTCAGATCGGAAAAGGTTGAAATTGAATCATTTCAGATTTTGACTTTATTGACTTGGACCATTTTTAGATTTTGAGTTAAAAAAAAAAAGATTTATAACCCTCTCACACAGGTTTCAGATTA